ATATGAAAACGAACAAACAGACGATATTTGACAAACTACACCAACAAAAACATGAACATAATACTATAATAGTTTCCACATGAAAATATATAAAATATCAGAAGGTATCATTGTAATATTCTGAAATACTATAGTACGCTTTTATTACCAGTAGTTCCTTCAGCTTATGCCTAAAGGCTTTAAGATTCGAAACTTCACGTATCTCTTGTGAAAGATGATTGTAAATTTTTTTGCTTTCATATATAAGCGAATTTTTTGTCAATGTATACAAAGGAATGGGTAATTGTAGATTATTTTTTTGTCTGGTGTTATGAACAATTTCTGGAGCTGAGATACTCGACCCGTACTTTATGTGAATAAGGCACGCAGACTCTATAATAAAGATATTGTACACTGTCTGAATTTTATGTTGGATGAAGAGTTGTTTACAGTGTGCCCGGTTCGCAGCCTTACATAGGTACCGAACAGCTCTCTTCTGTAGAACGAACACTGAGTTCAATAATTGATCTGTGCAAAAACCCCAGTAAGCAATACCGTACGTAATATGCGATTCGAATAAAGAGAAATATGCCATTTTCGCTGAAGATGGCCCAAGCTCATTAGAAATAACTCGGATAGCATAACAGCTAGAAGATAGCTTTCTATTGAGGTTTTTTACGTGCTCTTCAAATTTGAGTCTATTGTCAATCGAAATACCTAAGAATTTACAGTGTGGTTTATTTTCTATATTCTGATTCTCTAGTTGTAAGTCGTCAAAATCGAATCTAATGGTAAGAATATTGGTTTTGTTAGCGTTAAAACATAAGTGATTTGAGTCGCACCAAAGTTTAACTATTTTCAAATCTCTGGTGATCGCTGCCTTCAATTCATTTACATTTCTACTGTGCCATAAAATGATGGTATCGTCTGCAAATATAGTGAATTTTCCTTGTATAGGAAGACTAGAAATATCATTTATATAAAGGAGAAACAGTACAGGACCCAATACTGACCCTTGAGGTACCCCACAATGTATATTCAATGAAGAGGATTTCACCCCATCAATTTTCACAAATTGTTTTCTACCAGTGAGGTATGAAGCAAACCAGTCATTAACAAGACCCCTGAATCCGTAATGATTCAGCTTGGCTAGCAGTATTCCGTGATCGACACAGTCAAATGCTTTTGAGAAGTCACAGAATACTGCTGCTGCAGCTTCTCTATCATTCAAACACAGATAAACCCTTTCTAAAAATTCAAATATAGCCATGTTGGTATTTTTTGATTTCTGAAAACCGAATTGGGAAGGAGATAATATTTTATGTTTTTCTAAAAAGGAAATCATCCTCTTTTTGACGAGCTTTTCTATTATTTTCGATATAGTTGAAAGAAGAGCAATTGGTCTGTAATTTGAAGGTTCATTCGAATCACTAACTTTTGGTAGAGGAATAACTAATGCAATTTTCAAGGAGTCTGGAAATATGCCATTAGCAAATGACAAATTTATCCCTTCTGCCAGTACATGTAAAGCAGTCTCGTGTAGATTCTCGAATAATTTGAGAGAAAGTTCGTCCACACCACAAGAGTGTTTATTCTTTATTTCTGAAAACGTTTCGAGTATTTCTAGGTGGCTAGTTGGAAAAAAATAGAAGTTTTCCTCGATACGCCCATCTTTGAGGTAGTCGAGGGGATCTACTTCTTTACATATGGTTGCTGTTAGTTGGTCCACTATTGTACAGTAGTATTTGTTTAATACATTTGGATCAATACTTATATCTCTGGGTAAAGAATTTGTTTTTCCTCTCAGTTCGTTTATTATTGCCCAGTTTTCTTTAGTTTTGCATTTCCCCCTTTCGATTCTTGATTTATAATACAAGTCTTTAGCTGCTCTGACCACTTTTCGGTAAATTACTCTATACTTGTTTACATACATTAGGAAACTTCCATTGCTCATATTGTATTTTTTAATTGTATTTAGACACCTCATATTCCTAGAAGAAATCTTCATAGCTGATGTTACCCAAGGTTTCTTTGATTTCTGTTTAATTTTTTGTAGAGGAAAGCAATTGTTGAAAAGATATGTCATTATTTGTTGGAATGCTACAAGGGGTTCTGAATGTGATAGCAGATTAATCCAATTCATTTTCTGGGATTGTTGCCTGAAGTGCATGTAATTCTTTTCAGAAAACAATCTGCCGTATTTATATTTTACCGGAGTTCTTAAATTTAAAGGAAAGAATGAGAGTATTGCTTCATGATCAGATAAATCTGTTGAGATTACAGTGCAATTAATAGAATTTTTATTATCATTTGCAAAGTTGGTGCAAACGTTATCAATGATTGCGTTAGTATCTCTCGTTATCCTGGTCGGTGTATTAACATGCATTTCTAGACTGAGAGACAAAAAAAGATTACATAAGGTGATAGTTTCAGACAATTCTGGACGTTCGAAATGAATATTCAGATCACCAACAATTACTATTTTAGAATTTATGGGTAACTGTGCCGTGAGTGTTTCAAAATTTTCAAAAAACAGTGTGAAATTAGAACCGGGCACTCTGTAAGCACAAACAATGTAAAAATTATTCAACTGATTGTGAATAACTGAGAATTCGAATACTCCATCTACAATGAGGTGATCAAACTTTGTAACATTCACAAATTTCAGACCATCTGCAATATCTTTCCTAACCAATAACATTGTGCCTCCATTTGCGCCATATGCATTATGGTTTCGTCTGCAGTATTTTGATACTATTATATAATTTCGAATGTAGCAAGGTTCTTGACAATGTAGCCAGTGTTCAGTTATTGCAAGGAATTCTGGATTATCGTGATCTTCTAGGAGTACTGAAAATTCATCTATTTTATTTCTCATAGATCTAATATTTAACAAAAATAAAGAGATCGTTCTCTGCCTGATACTATTCGAAGGTAATATATTGTTATCGAAATTTACGTGAGGGGCGACATTTTTTGAGCTATGAATAAAAAAGAAGAAGAAGAATTGCGACAAGACAAAGGTTCACTCACAGAAACACTACTGTTTTCATTAATTGACTGATTTTGATAGTTGACATCCATAGTAGATGGTAATGTTATTGTTTGTAGTGTCTTAAGAGCTAACTTACATGATTTCTTAACAGATGAGAAATAATTTACCAGTTCGTCGTAGATTATACCTTTACTGCCTTTTTGTTTGATATCTGTGTAGAGACTAAGTGAACAATTTGTGTGCTTCTTTGTAAATGCATCAACCCTATTACAGAGTATTTTCGAAAGTATATTATCTTCAGATGTGTTGATTTCAGTTAAAAGCACAACATTTATTAATCTACTAATACCTAATATATTTTTCAAAGCTAGATTCAAAGTTTTTTTGTTGCTCACATTATTTGTGTTGAACATAATGATAACTACATCGTTTTCGTCGAATTGTAATGTGTCAAGAAAAATGTTTTTTGTCAAATCACATAGCTCAGTGCTAGGAAGAATTTTTTCATCTACCGTATATAAAAGATTAACATTACTGATGGTTTTCAGAACTTTGGTGAAGCCAACTCCATATTGATCACCATAGACTAAAACTTTCCTTTTAAAACTTTGAGTACGTAAGTGCTCACCAGCTATCTCGTTTTGGAGAACCTGATCATTTCGCTTCTCAGCAGCCTCAGATGCAGGTTCTTTTGGTTTTTCAGAATTTCCTTTTTCTTCATTCGAATTGGAAGGTTCTAAGCCGATATCACTTGGGATATGTTCCTCGATTAATTCTGAAACGAATTGGTGTTTCTCCTCCTGCTGAGTCGAGCGTTGTAACTTCATCTTCAGAGTCATCTTCCTATTGAGGATCTTATTTTTATTGATACCTTTCATTCTTGCTTCCTTCCTCAGTATCTTTTTAAGTTTGAATAATTTATGTTTTAATCTCTCCAACTTCTGGATATATTTTTTATTTTCTGAAGAAATCGATTCAATTGTAGATTTCATACCATCCATTACGCGATCCATTTTAATTTCTTCATTTTTTATACAGTCGTAGTCTTGCTTATATTTCAATAACTCTTGCTTTATTTTTATTTCGTTTTCTTTAAGGTCAAATAGTTCACGTTTCAAGAAGTGTATTTCCTTCGTAGATGAGATTATCTCTTTTGTAACGCCACTGGTAAAATTTAATTCACTATCAGTGATGGTTTGTGTGCCTTCTTCTTTACTAGTTTTTTGTTGCTCGGTATTTTCTAGCAGCTGTTTTTGAAGTTCATCTATCCGACGGGTTTGTTGTTGCAAGATTGAATTTAATTCGGTCTCCATTGACAATGAATCATTTAAAAATGCATCGTGATCGTGAATTAGTTTTTTAATATGTTGGGATTTTTGTTGATTATCCTTCAATAGTTCAACCAGTAGATTGTCACCATCTTCGTTATTTCCAGTTACACTTTCGGCAGTTTCTGCCAAGTTGCTGTTTGCTATACAGGTGCGACACTTTATTACATGTGCCCTTAAAAACTTCGCACCATTTAGATTTCTTCTGCAACATTTATGAACAAAACTGAAACACTGCTCACAAACATAATAGCCGGGATTCACTTTTTTTTTGCAACATATAAATGGATAATTCGTGTTTTCGTTTATACACTCTGAGTGATCGACTTGACCGCCCGACGCCATTATTTTCCTTCTTGATAATGAATATTATATATATAAATATTGAATTTAGAATTGAAAACCTCAGTTTGTTCGAAACAACTCAAAAACGAAAAATCATATTAGAGATTAGTGGAGTTTAGGTTTCTCTTTGCTGGTAAATGCTCAAAGACAGAGTTGGAATGAGTTTTAGAGGTTTTTGCGAGTTGGTTATCAAGATGAAAAATCGAGTCGGTATATGATGTCGTCAGAGTTAGTGCACAAGGTCCTATTGCTACTGCGCATGCTGCTGATGGTTTCAGATTTTTCATCATGTGAAATTAAACCGAACAATCTTGTTATTCTCAAAGGAGATGTGTATTGAAAAGAAACAACCATTCCTAATACATTTTCTGTAATCTCAAACATATCAACTTTAATTCGATAAAATAATCAGTATCAACAGTATTTAACGCTAAATCTGCAACAATATAGCTACTCCAGCTAACACCCACTTCAGCGCCTTTTCCTTGGTTTTCAAATTGAATGTCCACACGAAAGTCGGGCCTCTCATCCTCGTTTTATACACAGGACAGTCGTACATGTTCCTCAGGTCTTGTTTGTCCTGCGTGATTGCTTTGATGAAGATAACGGGAACCACTGGGAAGAGCTCTTTCAATTTCGAGTCTGCCAAGCTATTCAATTGAATGTCCCACCTATCAATAAAAAAATATTGCATTATAATTCCGTTGTATTAGGATGACTCTCCCTTTCCGATCTGAATTACATTTTGATTTTGACATTCATAGACACGGAAGTGTATATACAGAATGTTTCGAAAAAGTTGACCCCCTTGTCAAGGTAGGTGAAACACTCCAAGAAATATCGAAACAGCATCCATTCTCTAAGGACAAAGTGTTGAAAAATAGTATATTGTGTTACAAGGGCAGGAAATGAGCTTTAGCAGCCTGAGGCTATTACCATCACGGGCCAAGCAAGGCAGCTAGTAAATATGGGCTGCTAAAGCGTTTTCTAGCCTATACCATAATTAAAGGAGGAAGGAAAGCTCAAAGTCATCTCCACAACTTTAATATGAAGTTTATTCAACGGGACATGTTTCGAACTTATAAAAGTCCATCTTCAGCCGTATTTGAGAAATTACTAAAAGTAAAGACATTTGAAAATATACAAAATGTTATAAAAATTGTTTTTTGACTTACATGGAGGTGAAACATTGTTTGTTTTAACAATGATGTCGATGTCTCTCATCATAATGTCATTGATGAAGAATAAATAAATTGAGGAATAAACGGGTTTTCATTAAAAATGAAGGGCCCCGTGCCCTGAGAACGCGCACTTATGAATCAATCATTGATTCATAAGTGCGCGTGAAAACCCGTTTATTCCTCTTCGTCTTACCGAATCATGAGCACAATACACGACGCAAACACCAACATATCATCCCGAAAATGAATAAATCCATAGGTCAGCGCTCATACAGCTACATGGCCCCAAAAATGTTCAACACTCTCCCTATAGAAATGAGAGATATAGTGGATAAACATTCGTTCAAGAAAGCTTTGAAATCATTTATCAATGAGAAAGATCGAAATATCATAAATGATTATTTCAAGTGAGTTCCTTATAATTATTATAATTTTCTATTTATTCCAAATTATATGTATATATACACGTATGTTTGCTTATTCGCTTTATAAGCTTGTAAATCGCTTGTGTTTGTGTTTGAGACACACATTTTGAATTTAAGTTAAGATTATTATTTAGATATTTTAAATTGTTTTGAATATATTATATTTAACTATATAAATCAACTTCTCGAAACAAGTGATTCATCACTTATTGAGTATTGTTATTTATTTATTTACTACATTTTCTATCATTTAGGCATATCCATTGTATTTCTTTCTGTAAATGAATAAATGCATTATTATTATTATTATTATTATTCCTCAATTTATTTATTCTTCATCAATGACATTATGATGAGAGACATCGACATCATTGTTAAAACAAACAATGTTTCACCTCCATGTAAGTCAAAAAACAATTTTTATAACATTTTGTATATTTTCAAATGTCTTTACTTTTAGTAATTTCTTAAATACGGCTGAAGATGGACTTTTATAAGTTCGAAACATGTCCCGTTGAATAAACTTCATATTAAAGTTGTGGAGATGACTTTGAGGTTTCCTTCCTCCTTTAAAAATTCCACTCCACTTTGAGCAAACATGGACTTCTACCAGAGATTATACCATAATTGTTTTCTCGATTCCGAACTTCGATTGATTCCGAACTTCGATTCACACTGACGTTCAACGATAATCAATGTGATCGAAACGTCAAAATACGCATCACGCAATTGACAGTCAGATGTGTCAAGATAGGTAATAACTACAAAATCACGGGACGATATACATCACTTTCGGTAAAATTTTCACTGTTGATATGATTCATTATCATATATGGTAGGCGAAAAGAGATTTTTTCACACCGTTTTTTCAATTATGTCGAAACTACTGGTAACATGGCATTGATGCGTTCTGGACATTTGGGGATAGATCTTCCAATCCATATTCGTTCTTAACTTTGACATCATTCGATTTCACACCAGAATATACTCTTGGTAAAAGTCGATAATGTGTAATACCGTTTTCAGAATATTTTAATTTGAACATGATGAAATTGATAAATGTTGTAATATATATCTAATATGTAGAGGAACATGTGAATAACAAATAAACAGTTAGCAGTTGATCAACTACAGAATATTGAGACAGTCAATTATATTGAACTTGGAGATCTTTATTATTTTGGATATAACCGATGAAATGGATTTGACTGAAAACATGGATTACAAAATTTCGTTGTATCATAAAAAGAAAGTTCATGCTACAGTGATAGAATCACGTCAAGAGTTGCATGACAAATTTGAACATTATATCAACTAAATGACCTGAGAGCTGATCCTCACCTGTTCAGGTGAATAATGCAATTTCGAATAAAAAAAAATAGCATCGAGTATTCGTGGAAACGGAGCACATTTCGAACACTTACTAACTGATTTATCATTTAATGTTTTCAATGAAATATATCTCAATTTTATACCTGTCATCCTGTATTCAGTCAATGACTCTTGCACAAGAATAATGATATTGTTTCTGAATTCGAATAAATAGGTTATTGATCCTAATAATACTCATTCTATACCAGCATCAGCTATCACCGACTTTATTATTTTCATATCAGAATATTTCTCTCTAGCTACGTGATCTTAGAGGGTTATGCTTGACAGCAAGAGGGTGACCTGAATACTACACACCGTAGCACGGTTGTAGCAAAGAAAACAATGTATTTCTGGTTTGAAAAAAATTGGTATTGTTTAAGTGATTAAAAACAGTGGATACAGTGATCAATGATGAAAAGAAGTTCCAAGTGAAGTGAATAAACTAGAGTGACTCAATGGCTACACCCTTTTAGTGGAAATCCTACATCCCTGGATCTAACCATCAGAGTAGCTAGAGATGGTTACGGGGGCTGTACGAGGTAACGAAACAATTTTTAATATATGAAAAGAATATGCGTACTTACAATGCCCAAATAATTTTTACTCCGGCAGATGAGGAGATGCGTCTCTCTGGTACCATGGGTAAGGGATGCTAGCGTTGGCGACCGTTACTCTACGAGAGTGGTGATCTCAAAAAACAACCGTACTCACTAGGTATCGACCGACTATCGACTCTCCTACATTCTGTCCCGAAAAATCAATTCTTATATTGTTTTATAGCCGATACTTGTTGGGTTAGCAAAATCAGCAATAATCGTATCGACCGAGTTCGTTACCTCACAGATGAACTTTCAAGTTCAAGGAATTCTGCCTGAAAATCTCACTTCAGTTTCAGTCTGTCAGATATGAGCTGGGTCGTTCGAATTACGTACATGTGAATGACTTTGATTATTATCTACTGAGGACTTATATTTTCTTCGATGGATATTTCCTAATGAATTGAATAGTATACCAGGTGTGACGATATTCCGGAAACGGTACACTGTATTGGTGTTGAATTGAATGATGTTCAAGATCACATTAAATCTGGCCTTAGAAAACTAACCTCAAAAAAGTTATGTTCAAAATTACTAGGTACGAACCATGTTACTAGAACCCCTCATTAGAGTAAGATGAAAATGAATTCATGCGAGTTGTCAGCTTTCAGAACATATCCATACAAATTGTCATCACAATGTTGTCAGTAGTTTTGGAATGATCGTAAAAAATTTATAAATTTTGTTTTGAACCCTGTATCTAGAAAATGGATGTCGTTACATCTTCTTAATGAGCGAACTCAACTCGTTTTGTAGAAAATAGAATTCAAAAAAACAAATTGAAATATTTTTAGTTGGCAAAGTTTTTCATACTGTGAACGAGTTTACGTGTACGTGATATTCCAATTTGCTATATACACTCATTAGTTTGTAGGTTTTTTAGTTTTTTTGTGGTATTTGACTATTCCTATACAATGTTTGTGTTCAGGTATGGAGAATAAATCATTTGTTCGATTGATTGATATTCCTTGATATGGGAGAGAACTACGAGGATCCGGGATTACTTCTGTAGTGTTTATCAAACAATGTAAATAGGTGACACGAAGAGATGCGATCGCTTGTTTATAATTATGATCCGTCTGAAAATCACAAATTGATATGAAGATTTCAATTCAAATATGCTAACACCGCTCTGTGTGAAAGACTCGGGAAAGAACTCGAAATGTCATCAGTTGATCAACATCATACCTAGCTCCTTCCATGAAAAGCCCATAAACATAAGCTCCCTCTCTGGGAGCCGCATTGAAATCCTCCTTCTGTTTCTTTGTCACATCCGTCATCAGACACATTTTGTCCAGAGGCCACTCATTTTTTCGTGCAGTTTGCTGCATGATTGCCGTCAGGAATGACTGTGGATTAAAGAATCCACCTAGCCATACTGTTGCCGGCATGGAGAAATCTGTTGTCCATCCCTCTAGCTCTTTGATCCTCAAAGACAGGTCTCCCACCCATTGGGCCAGAGGTAGTAGGCTGGGGTACGCTTTAGCCGACCAAGAGTCGGCAACTTGGTCCATGAATATGGACTGTTCGAGGCTCTCCATATCTGAAGTGATGGTCAACTCACCTTTCAATCCTGTCGAGAATAAAGACGTATTATAATTCTGTGAATTGGAGTTTGGACCTGAAATAGTGTCAAAAAATTCTTAGACATTGCATACGTAGAATTCAATCGTGTAACGAATTTTTCATGATCTGGATCTATCATGGATCAATATAGGGTTTTGTGGACTATGAAGAATAAGAAGTATGTTTATTCCTCAATCTCAATGATGTTAATTTTTTGGGATAGTATTTGAAATTCGAAAAGTTCAAGCAAGTGACTCGTACCTTCACAGTGTGCTGCGGAAATATCCGAGATCATCATGCTCGGAATGGACACATACATACCTCATTCTTCGAAAAGATCATCACCATCAAGACCCTGGTTCAACAAAAACTGTTCTAGAACTGTTGCCTTGTAACAAACAGCCTACCATCGCTGGCGCAAAAACTCTAACCTCGCGACTAGAGCAGAATACGTTGATGAAAGAAATAACTGCAGCCAAAGAATAGATGCTTCGGAAGAAACATAGAATGCCAAGATAAGATCAAAACTCATAGATTGTCCCAATGGCTCCCGTTCGTTTTGGTCCCTTGCTAAAGCGGTCGGAAGAGATTTCACTAATAGTTCATTCCCACCACTGTCCAAATCCGACGGCACATTAGCAACAACATCGCAGGAGAAAGCAAATATTCTCGCAGATATTTTCGCAGCAAACTCTACTTTAGGTTCCCAAGGAAGAGTGCTGCCAGACCATACACCCGTTGAGAGTCGAATGCCCAAAATCGTCTTCCGTCAACAGTCAACGCACTATCAGACGAATTTTGCTTGGTCTCAAAACGAATGAGGCTAACGGTCCTGATAGAATTCTACCCATAATCCTTAAAAAATGTGCACCAGAATTAACACAGATTCTCTGCAAGTTTTTTACCGTCTCGTACAGGTCGGGTATTTTTTCATCATGCTGGAAGACAGCTAGAGTCCAACCAATCCCCAAAAAAGGGAACAAGAACCTGCCCGCCAACTACAGGCCCATTGCCCTGTCATCAGTTATCTCCAAAGTGATGGAGAAAGCCATCAATATTGAGCTTATCAAATTTCTGGAGAGCTCGGGAATCATCAATGATAGACAATACGGCTTTCGATACCAAAGATCTACTGGAGATCTACTTGCCTACGTCACCCATTTATGGCAAGCTACATTAGAAAAACACAGGGCATCTCAAGCTGTCGCGTTGGACATATCGAAAGCATTTGACCGTGTTTGGCACGAAGGACTCCTACCAAAACAACCATCATACGGCTTACCACCTCAGTTATGCCATCTCTTATCGAGTTTTGTTTCAGGCAGATCGCTTCATGTGGTGGTGAACGGTGTATCGTCTGATACAATTGACATCAATTCCGGCGTTCCACAAGGATCAATTTTTGCACCAACATTATCCCTTCTTCATATCAATGATCAGTTGGGAGTACCAACTTGCCTCATCCACAGCATTGCTGATGATAGTACCCTCCATACTGCGTTCTCTTCCAGAATTCCCATTTCTTCCCAGGAAACGAAAAACTCACGGCGCAGGCAGGTCAATTCTGTCAATGGAGACCTTGCTGAAATCACAGCCTAGGAAACCAACAACCTAATTGAATTCAACGCCACCAAAATTCAAGCCTGTATTTTCTCTAGAAAGGCGAAACTTAGTATGCCCGACATTGTAATGTCTGGCACCACCCCCACCAAGCCCACCATATCAATGCTCGGTATTTCCATCAGCAACACTCTTTCATGGAATAATCATGTCAGATTCATCGCAAAAGCTGCTTCACAAAAACTCGGATTCTTGTTCCGTGCGAAAAGCTACTTTACACCTCAACAGCTCCTCATGATCTACAAAGCGCAGATAAGGCCTATTCTAGAATACTGTTCCCACACAAGGGCAGCACCGAAACATACGCTAATGCTCTTAGATTCCATCCAGAGAAGTGCCATCCGCCTGGTGGGTGACGCCACACTCACTCACTCTTTGACATCATTGGAACACCGTAGAAAGGTCGGCGACCTTTCACTTTTCTATCGATACTTCCACGGAAAATGTTCTTTGGAAATCTCTGCTATCATCCCTTCACTAGCAATACCAGTCAGACGAACTAGACAAGCCCAGTCAGCACATCCTCTCGTTGTTAACCCCGAAAGATGTCGAACAGCACTTCATCAAAACTCCTTCATCCATAGAACGGCTAGGGTCTGGAATTCTTCGCCTGAGGAAGTATTCCCAACAACATATTATAATCTCCAGAAGTTCAAAAAAAATTCCAATACCTACCTCCTATCCCTATCTTTCATGCCATAGTTTGAAATTGAGAAAGACTTACACCAATGAAAAATATGTTGAAGAAAGTAGAATGGTTACCGATCAATCATTCCCTCCTCTACCAAACATTGATCTTGAATTTTCAATATAAAAAATAGAATTTCCCCAACATATATCGTTTTTAATTGTTCATTTTTCGAACTCATTTTCATATCGACCTCACACAAGCAAAATTTGTGAGGTGAGTACATCCAAATTCAATTCTTATAACAGCAGATTGGAATGACACATGATTTAGACGCATTTTCAGAAGAAGATTCACAAAACAGACCATTGAAAAAAATATTCAATCAGATGAAATGCAGAAGAAAATCATCATAGCCAAACTACGTAATAGAGTCGAGAATTTGAGAACGAAGCAGAGGATATCAAGTAAATTGCAACGTGATATAATATCAATGAATGGCGTTTTCAATACCAACCGAATTCAAAATTCATCATTCGAATGTAATACATGAAATTCATTTTTTCAATAAAATTTTTTGTTGTATGAAGTATTAACATTATTTTGGCTCACTTTATCAGCCGTTTCATTCTCGACATGACCTTCCCAGACACTCTGTTTATATTAACCATGTCATACAGATATAATAGAAGATTGTTACTCATTAAATATAATGTACCTTTGATAACAATATTTATTGAGAAATGGGTAGCAGCTTAGGAATCGTAGCAATGAATTACATATAATCGTTATTATATCAAGAGAGGCAGCAACATGGATTCAAACATCTCCTGTTCATGAACTTATTTATATCTGCAACGTTCAGGAGGAGCAGGGTGGAATTTTTGGAATTGAACTCGATTGCTGGAATCATTAAGGAAGCAGCAGCGATATTTCACAACCTATTCTCCCCTCAGAGCGAGGTTAGGGATGCTGGGAAGATGTGCTTGCTCTAATGGAATGGTGCAACAGCAAGGGCAGACTTCCCTGAAGCAGTCAAGTCAGGAGCAAATAATGAGCCTGATATCAGCAAGAGCAACTGAACGTACCTACCACCAAGTTCAACAATGACTCAGGGATGAGCTGCCTTCCCAACAGTAAGGTTGAAAACATGTAGGAAACACCCTGGAGAGGTCCTATTCAAAACGATAATTTGCCAATGCTCCAACATAATTGTAGTGGGGGCAAATGTGGATGCCAGAAAACAATGCTGCACTTTTTCACGCCGTGCCTCTACTGCCAAGGAAAATGCCTCAACAACATGCCTGCTGATGTGGACGACGACGACGACGATGATGGCGTTACGTAGAGTCTTTTGAGTAATAACTTCCAACACTCATGATGTGGTTGCAATGAACGAGGAACCCTTTCCAGAAGACTTACTCACTGCCAAAGGAGATGAAGACGAGAATTCAGAGGAAGTGGAGTGTTTGAAATGTTTGAGTTATTGAGAGTGATAACAGTGAGAACAAAATAACTCAGCATGTGAATATGTGACTTTTTCAATAAGTTATAATACAATTTCCTACTTCTCAAGTTACAATCATGTCGTCTACTTCATGAAATAACCTATTTTTGAGTGTGGTTAACTATCAGTGTATTTTTCTACATATTCAGAGCTGTAACAATAGTAAATTACATAAGAGTTGTAAAACGCATATTACGCATGAAGTGGTGAGAGTTACACACAAGTGCGTAATCCACCACTCAAGAAATGTTTCATATCTTTCCTATGCCTACACCATACTTCCTCCAGAATAGTACAGATGAAGTATTGAGACTCAAATATCGAGCTAACTACATGGAAAGGTACAACTCACCATTTTTCTCGTATTCGTTCATTGGTGAATGGCATAATAAACCATTTTCTTCGATTTGAACTGAAAAGGAGTCGTTTTCCATATCTTTACAACTTTATTGATAACAGAAAACACATTCGATGAACATATGAAATAATTAGCAACATACATACTAATCATCTTATTGTGTCAGTAGGTGAAACGTTAACTTCAAGAGCTAATTTTAGAACAAAAATGGATGACTTTCGACTCGATTGCAGAAAAACGCTATTTTTCGATGGAATATCTTTATCAACAGTGGATGGCTCACCTAAATCTAGTTCATGTAGAGACCTCTTCATTTCTGAAGTCAGAGTATTCATTCTGTCACATTCTTGAAACGCTACTATTATGTATGGGGATCTGTCTTCAACCTTAGCCATCATTTCTTGTACGGGAAACCTTTCTGGCAATTTGTCCATGATTTCTTCAAGAGCACTCCTAACCTGTAATGAAAACATTGTTTTATACAGGGTGTTACATAATTGAATGTCAATATTTGGGGACGCAATTCTTGGGCCCATTCTAAGAAGAAAGTTTCATATGAACGTATGACCTAAACATCCTAACTTTTGAGATACAGGGTGGTGAAGTTCTCCAAAATTAATAGTTTTTTATTAATATCTGTAATACCACTTCAGATATTCTGATGAAATTTGGCATACATGTACTATGTATCAAGAGGCATCAGTTAGCGTACCACATTTTTTGTTGTTGCCACCAGTGGCGTTCGTATGGAATTTCACATACCTATTTTGGCAGACATTGATGGTACGCCACTGATTAATCTCCAAATTGAAATCATTCCTGAAATTCCCGATCATTTCTAAGCAAATTTGATCACTACAATTTTTTCAATCTGATGCACGGTTTTCGCTTAAAAATAAAAAGCTTTTCACTACATGATTATAGTAATATTGTTAATATGATAATATCACAATGCAGAGAAATAGTTTTTATTTTTAAGATCAAATTTCAGAAATACAATTCATAGTTCATGAACTTTGTATTCGTATTTGGTATTTTCGAATTATAACTTCTCATTGTAGTAGGCTATATTAATTTTCGAGAATTTTACCACCCTGTATCTCCAAAGTTGGGACGTTTAGGTCATACGTTCATATGAAACTTTCTTCTTAGAATGAGCCCAAGAATCGCCTCCTCGAATATTGACATTCAATTATGAAACACCCTGTATATCAGGGTGATCAAGTTTTAATGACTTATTCTTAAGGGATCGAAAAACACGGGTATTTGTGACTATAAACAAGAATAGGCCAGACGTATTATGTAACAGTCGCAATTGCAATAATTATTGCAGTCAACTTTTTCATATGTGGTTTAGGTTCTGTTCAAAAATATTCGTCCAAATTTGCAGCACTCTAAAATGTACGCGGGAAAAGGTTATTGCCTAACGACTCCAGAATTCATTCTTTTTTTTTAATTTTTACGCAAAAAAACCACATGCGAATGCCCTGACGAGGAAGGTCACTATTACTACATTTCAAGTTTGCACAATTCATGACTGTTTCAGCTCTAATCCGGTGTACTTTGTCTGATAGTTCGCAAAATTCGCTTTTTTCCTCCAAGAAGTTTAAAAATGGAAATTGGTCCATTTGCAACCGCAATATAGAGTATAATGATGTAGTTACATAAAAATTAATGTGAGATGAAGTGAAAGCAAATAAAAGTACCTTCATTTCGTGGAAAACGATAAAATTAGTTGAATTATTCTTCATGTGTTCAAGGAAGAAAAATATTTATAAAAACGATCATTATATAATATTATTAATGTTCCACATGTCATTAGGCGTACCACCACTGTTGGTCTCAACTTCACCTATGCGGTCTCTTTGGAATCCTATAAGTATCAATAACAACTTCGATGTCGATGGGGAGGTTGATGTCCATTTGAAGAGCACGACAGAAATCAAACACTTCCTGAATAGCATCGGGGTCGTAATGAGTATTTTCTACATCCTCGATTAGTTTGACATTCGAGCACTCACTGTGCTCACAATATTTGCAAAGTATAGTACACTTCATACCCGCCATCCTAGAAGAGCAAGACCCAGAACAACCTCTCTTGCACTTTCTGGATAAGCTTTCAGAAGTAGTTGTGGGGTAGACGGATTTCATAGGTGGTATCAAACCCGAGTATGTTTGATGCCATGCCCAACACTATCCCCATGAATCAGTAGGGGTCTTGTGTACCTCATCTACTTCTGAACCTGGTGGTAGCTACTGAATGAATAAAACTTGGCTGCGTCTTTTGTAGGTGGATGGTGAACTAAATAATTCATTTTTTGGCTGACCAAGGTCCTCACAAATGAGGTATAGCGCATAGCGTAGAGAGCTTCTTGGCCATTTCCGCCAAACAGAGCAATAAATAATGCCTTGTCTGCACTATCAGTTTCCTCTGGAAAGAAATCATGCTACAGGAAAACTTTCAACTGTTGAACAAGGCTCAACTTCATTCCACATTAATTTTTGCGTGAATACTACATTGTATCTGAATAATTTCTCAAAAATTGTCCGTTTTCATTCTACAACACTCTGGAGAGAATAGCAAGTTAGGTAAATCCAACTCAGGTCAGAATCAATATGGCGGCTGGTTGACACCAAACAAGAAATCGACAAAATCAAGTTGATGGAACAATAATTGTAAAGTTACTGTTCGTGATTTCCTGTGATTATATGACCTGTTCTGCCATCACGAATTAGCGGAAAAAAACGATGTATCACACATAAATCATTCAATTGGGTGCATAGTATGACAGGTCATTGGATTGTTTGATCACAGCTCAAAATGTCGAAAATTTTGTAAACTTGGAAGTAATACATAGTGATATTTCCCGTCAAAGGCGTCGCATGTGTTTTTTCGCATAAAACTAATATAATTGAAGAAGTATAGTGGTTTTCCAAAAATATCTCAACCCTCATACATTCTGAAGTGTTGCAAATCTTGACAAATACTATATGGAGTGACTGAAATAACAGATCAAAAGGGCATGTTTATTACAAATATTATTGAAATTTCAGCTAATTTTTGATAATTGTGTTGATATCAGTTGTGGTCAGTAAATTTCCATTCTCGAAACGGCCCATGAAAATCTGATCATGATGAAGTTGAGGATCCCAAGGTTCAGCTTGGATAAGAATAATTGTCAATGTGGATGAAAAAACCCAATCTGAAAGATTGATAAACTCCAGGCACAATACTAATAAACATGACAGAGAACATGGAACAGAAAGATCAAGTGACAGAAGTTCACAAAAATCATCATACTAGGAAAGACAGTACGATGGAGAAAAGGAAGAAGATATAATGTTGGAAAAAAGGGGATAGTTATGAGAAAAATTTGCTGTCTTCAGAGTTCAAACATCAGCGAAAGACAAGAAAAAGATCAAGATAATCACAAAGAACGAAAATTATGATTGCATTCAAAATTTGTGTTATCATCAGGATAACAAGAATTTGGATTTTATTACAGAATTTCGAGAAGATTGGGCCTTTTACCTATATTGAAAATATGAAGGGTTTTGAAGTTGAAAATACTGAAAAAATCATGTGGATCGATTTTATAACCAGCATAATAATTCTGAATGAAATTTCGTGAAAAATCTGTTAAGTTGAGTAAAACGAATATCAAGACATTAACCTGTTTTGTCATTCTGAAGCACAATACCATCATCACATTCGAGATTGTGAACACCAGATTTTTTGTTCATAACGGTTTCATCTCTGGAATGTGTTCGTCTACAAGCATTCATAGATTTCGAAGGTGATCATTGGAAATGAACATGAATGCTCACAGTACATTAGTCAGAAGGACAATATGTTCTGAATACTATCGATATCAAAAGAGAGGAGAGATTTCAATAGAGGATATAAAGATAGTCACACCTTTTCTTCCCTCGACATCCCTGCTCCAGCTGCTGCACCTGCATCTCTTGGTTGCATCTCGAAAATCGTCCTGAACATGACCTCGGAAGTATTTGCGAGAAAGCCAATCTCGGCGTTGGGGTGTAGCCCATACAAGTAGGGACTCTCAGGCGGCAGTCTGTCGTCGATGTAGCGATGGTAGCCCAAGTAGTCAGTGTTGGGAGGCGCCTGGAAACCGTTAGCATACTGAAGCTCACCCTCGACGAGTTCCGGTTGCATGTAGCTGAGAAGATAACTGCGACATAGCCTGCGATCCCAGTCGTCGGTGATGTGACCGCCGTACATGATTTCTCCAAAGAGGTAGCGTAAGTCTTCCCATGGAACCTGCAGATATAAATATTCACTTCATCAACTGACATTCATTTGAAAAAAGCAATATACTCTTCTGAACAAACTGAATAAATCATCCCTATTTCAGATATTTTTTGACAACCTGTATCTTTGTTGATCGATTTTTTCTGGTTGTATCAATTTTACCGAATCCAAGGCAATATATGATAACGAGCGGAAATAAGCAGAACAAAACTAACATTACATGTAAAGTAGAACTATCAAGCTATGGTACCTATAAGTTTCGGTTGCTGCATGGTCCCAGTAATATTACCTCTAATCTTAAGTCAGTCACATCATTATACACATAACTTCATTTTGAGTCGTTCAAAGAATTCGAAAATTCGCAAATTATCAATTTGATCTTCAATGTGCTTAGCTTTGCATTTTTCGATTTTTTTCCTCAGGGAATTGAAAACACTATTGTAAATCATACAAAATGGAAATATAGAGAATGAAGAATAGAAGGAAATTGCAGAAATGTTTATGAAAAAACATGCACAAACGTTGATTGAAAATATGGTCTCTTCGATACAATATAAACAGCCTCCTTTTCTTCTTTCAATATCGGACTACCGCGATATCTTTTCGATATCGATGATTCGTCAGAAACTATTTTATGAGTATGAGGCTCTCACTAGCCTCTAGTATGCATGAATGCTGATGATTCATAGCAATTCACATCGAAAGCAATACTAAAATGTTGAGTGAAAACAGAACATTGCAGATCAAATTTTGTCGAAAACTTCGGCAGACAATATTGCTCTCTGCCCTGTTACAAGCTTCACGAAAATAAATTCTGTCACATCTACCAATGAGACAGGCCATGGAGTTTCGTATTATAATTGTAGTTTCGCACTAGTGCTGAAAGTGATTTACTTTTAACACCAGTGTCATAAACTGACATTTCAGACAATGACAACATGCGTCAAAAATTATACTTTTACTGACGTTTGTAGAAAAAATATATTATTAAAATAATGTATATAGCAAAACAACGTTTGCGAGGTCTTCTAGGCTCTAGATATAGGAAATATGTATTGTTTGTGAAAAAACAGGTTAATGGACGAATATGGAGAATGTAAATCTCAGCGTACGCGATTATATCAGTAATAAAAGTAAACTCTCAAGTCAGAGTTGACAATATTTTCTATTTATATTGACAACTCTAATTCAGAATTGAAACAGCTATACATGGTAATAATCACATATAATGTGCAACTGAATATTCTACTTATTTTTTTTCATAAAACAGTGTACTGGGTTATAAAATACCTCACCCTCTAACTACTTTATATTTGACAGTGGAAAAAATTCAAAAACAGACTCACAAGAGCTATTTTCCTCTTACCGAAATATAAAAAACGTTCTCACTATCTGGACAGTTATACAGGACGCAAAAAAGTGTATTAATTTCAAATGGAACACCCTTATATATTTTCTAGCCATCGGCAAGACTTTTCGAAGAGCTTTCCGAAAATACAGCAGTTATATCCATCTCCTTCATTTCTCAATTAATGGTCTTCCGAAACTGACACTTTGATCGATTTTTGAACGGTTTTTTGAGAATACGTCATGACAATGATTACTAATTAGGGTATATTCGCTATAAAGCTTTCTCATTCAATTCTCATTGGCGGTGATCACTGAAAATTGATAATGTAATTATCGACAAGACCTACTTTCGAAAATCATTCAATATCGATCAAACTTTGTTACTTTTGGAACCCCATATTTTGAAAAATACAAAAAATGAAGATATAGAGTACGGTATTTTCGAAAATATTCTCAAGAGACCTTTCCGATGTTGAGGATATATAGGGTGTTGCATTCGAAATTCAAACGATCTTTACTGTTTTTTGAATATTTCAGCAGATAGTGACAAGGTATCTTTTCATTAGGGAAAGAAAAAAAATACCCTTCAAGGCAATTTTCCCTTTCTTTCTTCTACTGTCAAAAATCGGAGAATTATAGGGAGTGCTAGTTTATAACGTGTTACTCACTACAGAATGTAGAATATTTACAATTGCAAGTATTGAAATGCTTATGGCGAAATGCGAAACGCCTCACAGTGTCGAGCTGGATTAAATCCAGTAACCACTCCCCACAACAAAACAAGGAAACAGGATAACTTCTGAGAATATATCAAAAACAACTCGAGACTCTAACTTCCCCAAGAAATCCTTTCAGAGGACTATCTGATCGTTTTATCACACCCTCCATTTGGGGCGTGATAAATCAACATCACAATCCTCAGAAACATCTCGTAATGAATATTTCTGTGTGCCAGTAATAAGGAATAATTTCCGCTACATCTCTTGACTTTGAGGAAGGAAAACTGTTTAATCCGATAAGATCTGAACGATTTATCGATGTTTCGAATGCGGACACTACACAGAAAGAGAAATACATCTGAAAAGGTCTGAGATGACGAATGAGAGGTCCAAGATATTGCTAATATTACAGCCTGGGAAAACAATCTGGTTGAATTCAACATCAACAAAACTCAAGCCTACGGCTCCTCTAGGAAGGCAGAACACGGTATGCCTGATATAACAAAGTCTGGTACCACCATTCCCAACGAGTCCACTTTATCTTATGCTCAGTATTCTTATCAATACTCTTTCATGAGAAAATCAAGTTTGATCCATCGCGAAAGTCGCTTATAAAATCCACTGATTTTTGTTCCGTGCGAAAATCTACTTTACACCTCAACAGCATCTCATGATCTAGAAAGCACAGATACGTCCAGTTTTGGAATACTCTTCTCACTTATGGGGTTCGACATCCAAACATACATCAGCGTATTCACTGCTTCCATCTGGAAAAGAGCCATTTGCCTGGTGGTGATGACACACTCACTAGTTCTTCGACTTCATCAGAACACCGTAGAAAAGTAGGCGACCTCTCACTTTCCTATAGATACTTCCATAAGAAATTCTGCTCAGAAATCTCTGCTATCATTCTATTACTAGCAATACCACGGACTCTACAAGCCCAGTCAGCACATCCATTCGTTGAGCTCTACAATTCTTTGGCGATAGAAGTATTTCCACAAACTCCCAAATGTTCAGAAATACTCTCAATACCTACCTCCTCTCACTCAATCAGATACAATATCGATACTTGTGAATGTTTTCATTTGAGGAATAAAACTCTTATCTGTGCATTATATTTGGATTCAATCTCGAATAATTATTCATAATAAAACAATATCGTATTCACAACGTTAATCGAGTGATAACCAGATAAAAAAGAAGTTATTGTGAATTATGTTTCATGAGTGAGGGTTGCTTGGCTGTGTGTACGTGTATACAGGGTGTAACTAAATAAGTGTAAAACATTTGAGGGGATGATTCCTCATAAAAAAACAGATGGAATCTTTCATATAAAGAAACTTCATTTGAGCATCCCATGTTGAGATACAGCCCCTTGAAGGGGGTACATAAAATTTGTTCAACAATTTTTTTCACAAGCACTAAAAAAGTTACAGTATTGAAATCAACCTGACATTTTCTACTACCAAAAAGACACTTAGCCAGTAATTTATTTGGTTGTGAAAAAAATTGTTGAACAAATTTTATGTACCCCCTTCAAGGGGCTGTATCTCAACATGGGATGCTCAAATGAAAATTCTTTATATGAAAGATTCTATCTTTTTTTCCATGAGGAATCACCCCCTTAAATGTTTTACACTTATTTAGTTACACCCTATACCAAAGGAGGGAAGTGTTGTATTTCGTGCAAGATGATTTAAAGATTAATCGACTTACCTGAAGGAAGATTAATCTCAATTATTCGAGTGGAGCCGTTCCATATGATTCACCCTGTAGTAACATCAGTTCTACCTAATTTGGCACAACATAAAAACGTACGCAATTTTTTGCTAGCTGATAACGATACTTGCCCGAATACCTCACTTCATCGTTGGGCATAAATAGCCATCATAGATCGCATCATAGGGTAAGTATATTGGAAGTCGATTAATCTTTCAATTATTCTTCGTGTCGCCGTTCCATATGAATCACCCTATAGATGTTCAAAGCAGGAAAATGCGATCTATCCCAAAACAATATTTTAATGGATTGTTGAGTCTCACAATGAGTATAAATAATATAAGAAAATGTAATAACATGTAAATCATGATTATAATTATTAATTAACTAAATTAACATAAAGGAAATAAATGTATCCGAAAGATAACATTTTTAATAAATTTATCTTCGATAGGTAGGTATGTTTATCTACCTATAACAAAATATTACCTAGTATTAAGAAAAACATAACATGTCCTTTACTATAAGGTCTGTCGCAAAATAGTTCTTGCGAAGATTTCAGGATCTGCCCTTAAGGGTCTATTATAGAAATTATTGAAGATAGCAGAACCTTGTGTCCAGCCGACAGTATTTTATATGGAGTCAATATTAACACCACTTCTTAGTGCGGCTGAAGTTGAGGCATGCCGCGTGCTTTGTGCAGAAAAAATATTGGTATCAATTCCGCTTCTTTTCAATGTTAATTTGATCCATCGACTTATTGATTGGGGAGAAGCCCTGTGATGAAGTTTTTTATGGGTTAGGACAGGATATTCTTCTTCAGGGGACCTGAGGGGCTCGGTAATTTTAATATAATGACTAATAACTGATCCAATACAATGGTTCGGTCTTTCTTTGAAAAATGGGAAAAACCAAGCATGGTTGTAGGATTTTAGGACCAGAAGTCTCAATTCTATCTGGAATCTTGATTTCTATGTTGGAATCTGTTATTTTTATATTATCTAATCGAATATTTGATAGAGTTTGCACTCTGTGACCCGTAGTTAGGGCCATCAACGTGACTAATTTTAAAGTCAAGTCTTCCAATGACACTTTTTCCAAAGGAAACTACTTTTCTAAATAAACCAGTACTGGATTTAAATCCTATGTAGAAGAATATTTTGGCTGAGAGAGATTTATTTTGAATGCCCCTTTCATGAACCTTCGAATAGTTTCCTC